CACTATCTAAATACAACAGAACACAATCAATAATCCAAAAGTTTTCAAGAAAACGCATTTAAAACATATTTTAACTTGCACACGTTATTATTGCATCAGTCTGTGGTTTTTACCTCACAAGACCAAAATAATCGATCACAGATAACTAGATCGACAATCACAGTGCATCTCATTTCCATGAATTTTCTTCAGGTAGAGACATTAATTGTGGGTTTTTCCTTTTTTTAACAAATACAAAACAATATTATTTTGCTTACTGTCTTTTTTTCTAAAAACAATTTTATAACCACYACATACTCCCCTTCAACAAAAAATGTCGTCCTCGACATTCAATAATTAAAGCAGTCAGACGACAAACAAAAGAACCAAATCTAGGTCATAAACAGGTACTGGACCTACCCAAAATTCCTAAGAATGTCAATGCTGAATCTCAGCTGCTTCCACAGTTCACATTGGGTGGGATGGCACACTATTTTTCAACAGTCATGAAGTTAAGTATGCTTTTAATCACGTCTGGAAAACAGTCCGTGAGTGTGCATGTGTGTGCCAGACCAACTGAAGTACTGTGATTATCCGTACAAGAACACAGGATGATAAGTGGACATCTGGACTGGATCTGAACACATGGGTCTTAGTTGAGGGGGTCTAAAATAGTGTACAGGGTCAAGTACATGTGTGGACCTGACTGGAAGTCCCAGGCTGTAACAAGCTGGATAACCAAGTTCATCATAGGTGAATCGCTTTGGTGGTCGCCGTTCTCTTGTAGGCCTGTTTTGTACTTGCTTGTTGCCACTGTGGCTCTCACATGAAGGAGGTGACATAGGCAGCAGAGGAGGGTCTTCTTCACAATTCTCCAGTTGCTCAGGAGCTCCATCTCTTTCTAACACGTCTGTCAGTTCCTGATACTCCTCTGGTTGTAAAACTTTTTCTTGTTCCTCTCCTTGTCTGTCCTTTGCTGCTGTGGGTTCAGTGGCTGCTGATTGATCTGTGTGGTCTATCTCATCCATGGGACTTGTATGCTGGAGTGGCTCAGGGCATGGGTAGTAAAACCATTCATCCTCCGAATCGTCATCACTGTCATCCTCTTGTTGGCTGTTAAGTTCAGTGTCACTGTTCTGTCTTGAACCTTTTCTCTGTGATCTGGCAACTTTAAGAGGAACCTCCAAAGGTAAGTGGTCACAAGGGAGTAAGAGATTACGGTGTAGCACCCTACTATCTCTCCCCTTTCCTTGTTCAGGTACCACCTCATAGACTGGAGCATCCTTAGTTACCCGGCGCACAACCTTGTGAATGGTGTCCTCCCAATGGCTGCGAAGCTTGCCAGTCCCACCTCTCGGGGTCAAGTTTCTGACCAGGACACGATCTCCTGGTTCCAACTCTGAGCTCTTTACTTTCCGATCATAGTTTCTTTTCCCTCGTTCAGCTGATTTTCGTGCATTGTTCCTTGTTATCTCATAAGCTTGTTGCATCCCTTCTCGCCATCTTCGCATGTACTCTCTGTGATCAGGTGTGCCTGTTTCTGGTGTCAAACGGAAAAGTACATCAACTGGCAGTCTTGGAGTCCTTCCAAAAAGGAGATAAAAAGGAGAAAAGCCAGTGACTTCACATTTTGTGCAATTGTAGGCAAAAATCAATCTGTTCAATGACTCTTTCCAGTGGGATTTCTCTTTTTCTGCAAGTGTCCTCAGCATCTGTATGAGTGTGCGGTTGAAGCGTTCAACTTGGCCGTTTCCTTCAGGATGGTACGGTGTTGTCCGYGAACCCAACACTCCAGAKGTTCTTTTTAGTTGTGACATGAGCTGGTTTTCGAATTCACCACCTTGATCATGATGAATACGTAGAGGGAATCCAAATCTTAATGCGTAATCATTAAAAAGTTTATCAGCCACAGTCTTTGCTGACTTGGATGTTGTGGCGTAAGCCTGAGCAAATCTTGAGAAATGATCAATTATAACCAATATGTACTCATACCCGCCTGCAGACTTGTCAACATGCAGAAAATCAAGTGATACTAACTCAAAAGGCTGGGTTGTAACAATATTAGTGAGTGGTGCTCTAGTCTCTTTGCTCGGCTTCTTTTGTTTTAGACATGTGCAGCTCCTGGCCACATAGTACTCAATGTCATTCTGCATGTAGGGCCAAAAGAAACGTTCCCTCACCAATGAAGTGGTCCGATCAACTCCTTGATGTCCCATGTCATCATGCAGATTCTTCATAACGACTGCTCTATACTTTTCAGGTAAAACAAGTTGTGTCCGTTTGGTTGTTTGTCGAYGCRGGATGCCGTTATCATCCAAAGTTAGTTTTTCCCATTCAYGTAGTAGTCTTTTACTCTCTGTACTGAATGATTTCATCTGTTTGCTGTCAGGTTTCTTATTTAACTGGCGACACTCCATTACTGGGCTGATATTTTTATCTTCCCTCTGGGCTTGACAAATCTCTTCCAGTGAGAGAGGTGAATGCTGTGCACTGCTGATTTCTTTACACTGAGCAGACAGTGCCATGGACCACACTGTATGGGAACCTGGGTCCTCAACTGACTGTACAACTGCTTGAACTGAACGAGATGACATTTCCTCAGTACAGTGTTTCATCAAGGTGTCAATATCCACAGGTAGTCTTGAGAGGCAGTCAGCATCGATGTTTTCTTTCCCAGGTCGATACCGGATGGTGAGGTGAAAATCCGCCAATTCAGCAACCCACCGACATCCGGTTGCATTTAGTTTCGCGGTGGATAANTTAGACATTCATACTTTAGACATTCATACTTTAGACATTCATACCTTAGACATTTATACTTTAGACATTCATACTTTAGACATTCATACTTTAGATGTTACGCCCCTGTAAAGGAGAATAAGGAAGAACAGACACGGACACGATGTGACTTCTGTCGCCTCCAGTGTTGTAATGGCCGAGCAGAAGCAACACGTTTCGACTTTATAAACTCAGACTAAACCAAACGAGACACGATCGGTAAATAAACTCACAAAACTTAAAATCTGAAAAGGTTGCACTATCTAAATACAACATAACACAATCAATAATCCGAAAGTTTTCAAGAAAACGCACTTAAAACATATTTTAACTTGCACACGTTATTATTGCATCAGTCTGTGGTTTTTACCTCACAAGACCAAAATAATCGATCACAGATAACTAGATCGACAATCACAGTGCATCTCATTTCCATGAATTTTCTTCAGGTAGAGAAATTAATTGTGAGTTTTTCCTTTTTTTAACAAATACAAAACAATATTATTTTGCTTATTGTCTTTTTTTCTAAAAACAATTTTATAACCACTACATACTTCAACAAAAAATGTCGTCCTCGACATTCAATAATTAAAGCAGTCAGACGACAAACAAAAGAACCAAATCTAGGTCATAAACAGGTACTGGACCTACCCAAAATCTCTAAGAATATCAATGCTGAATCTCAGCTGCTTCCACAGTTCACATAGGGTGGGATGGCACACTATTTTTCAACAGTCATGAAGTTAAGTGTGCTTTTACTTACGTCTGGAAAACAGTCCGTGAGTGTGCATGTGTGTGCCAGACCAATTGAAGTACTGTGATTATCCGTACAAGAACACAGGATGGTAAGTGGACATCTGGACTGGATCTGAACACATTGGTCTTAGTTGAGGGGGTCTTAAATAGTGTACAGGGTCAAGTACATGTGTGGACCTGACTGGAAGTCCCAGGCTGTAACAAGCTGGATAACCAAGTTCATCATAGGTGAATCGCTTTGGTGGTCGCCGTTCTCTTGTAGGCCTGTTTTGTAYTTGCTTGTTGCCACTGTGGCTCTCACATGAAGGAGGTGACATAGGCAGCAGAGGAGGGTCTTCTTCACAATTCTCCAGTTGCTCAGGAGCTCCATCTCTTTCTAACACGTCTGTCAGTTCCTGATACTCCTCTGGTTGTAAAACTCTTTCTTGTTCCTCTCCTTGTCTGTCCTTTGCTGCTGTGGGTTCAGTGGCTGCTGATTGATCTGTGTGCTCTATCTCATCCATGGGACTTGTATGCTGGAGTGGCTCAGGGCATGGGTAGTAAAACCATTCATCCTTCGAATCGTCATCACTGTCATCCTTTTGTTGGCTGTTAAGTTCAGTGTCACTGTTCTGTCTTGAACCTTTTCTCTGTGATCTGGCCACTTTAAGAGGAACCTCCAAAGGTAAGTGGTCACAAGGGAGTAAGAGATTACGGTGTAGCACCCTACTATCTCTCCCCTTTCCTTGTTCAGGTACCACCTCATAGACTGGAGCATCCTTAGTTACCCGGCGCACAACCTTGTGAATGGTGTCCTCCCAATGGCTGCAAAGCTTGCCAGTCCCACCTCTCGGGGTCAAGTTTCTGACCAGGACACGATCTCCTGGTTCCAACTCTGAGCTCTTTACTTTCCGATCATGGTTTCTTTTCCCTCGTTCAGCTGATTTTCGTGCATTGTTCCTTGTTATCTCATAAGCTTGTTGCATCTCTTCTCGCCACCTTCGCATGTACTCTCTGTGATCAGGTGTGCCTGTTTCTGGTGTCAAACAGAAAAGTACATCAACTGGCAGTCTTGGAGTCCTTCCAAAAAGGAGATAAAAAGGAGAAAAGCCAGTGACTTCACATTTTGTGCAATTGTAGGCAAAAATCAATCTGTTCAATGACTCTTTCCAGTGGGATTTCTCTTTTTCTGCAAGTGTCCTCAGCATCTGTATGAGTGTGCGGTTGAAGCGTTCAACTTGGCCGTTTCCTTCAGGATGGTACGGTGTTGTCCGYGAACCCAACACTCCAGAKGTTCTTTTTAGTTGTGACATGAGCTGGTTTTCGAATTCACCACCTTGATCATGATGAATACGTAGAGGGAATCCAAATCTTAATGCGTAATCATTAAAAAGTTTATCAGCCACAGTCTTTGCTGACTTGGATGTTGTGGCGTAAGCCTGAGCAAATCTTGAGAAATGATCAATTATAACCAATATGTACTCATACCCGCCTGCAGACTTTTCAACATGCAGAAAATCAAGTGATACTAACTCAAAAGGCTGGGTTGTAACAATATTAGTGAGTGGTGCTCTAGTCTCTTGGCTCGGCTTCTTTTGTTTTAGACATGTGCAGCTCCTGGCCACATAGTACTCAATGTCATTCTGCATGTAGGGCCAAAAGAAACGTTCCCTCACCAATGAAGTGGTCCGATCAACTCCTTGATGTCCCATGTCATCATGCAGATTCTTCATAACGACTGCTCTATACTTTTCAGGTAAAACAAGTTGTGTCCGTTTGGTTGTTTGTCGAYGCRGGATGCCGTTATCATCCAAAGTTAGTTTTTCCCATTCAYGTAGTAGTCTTTTACTCTCTGTACTGAATGATTTCATCTGTTTGCTGTCAGGTTTCTTATTTAACTGGCGACACTCCATTACTGGGCTGATATTTTTATCTTCCCTCTGGGCTTGACAAATCTCTTCCAGTGAGAGAGGTGAATGCTGTGCACTGCTGATTTCTTTACACTGAGCAGACAGTGCCATGGACCACACTGTATGGGAACCTGGGTCCTCAACTGACTGTACAACTGCTTGAACTGAACGAGATGACATTTCCTCAGTACAGTGTTTCATCAAGGTGTCAATATCCACAGGTAGTCTTGAGAGGCAGTCAGCATCGATGTTTTCTTTCCCAGGTCGATACCGGATGGTGAGGTGAAAATCCGCCAATTCAGCAACCCACCGACATCCGGTTGCATTTAGTTTCGCGGTGGATAAGACATAGGTGAGCGGATTATTGTCTGTATAGACAGTGCATGACGAGCCAATCAGATAGTCCCTAAATTTTTCGCAGACAGACCATTTTAGGGCTAGGAACTCCAATTTCCCAGAATGGAGATGGTAGTTTTTTTTCGGGTTCAGTGAGAGTTCGGGAAGCGTATGCTATTA